TTGCCAGGAGTAGCTATTGGTATGCCGTCACTATTTTTGCATTATAGAGCAATGCAAGCCTGGGTTTGTTCCAGATACACTGTTGAGGTATTGTTCAGAAAGAAATAGGAGAGTGCCTTGAAAGAGTAAAGTGCACCTATAAACCTCTTCCTGGAGACAGGGTAGGCCCAGATACCTTTTCCACAGTTACTTCTCTATGGTCAGAAAGAATTCTGCCTGGCTTTGGGCAGAACCTTTGTGGATGAACCAACCTTAGTTCCTATGTCATACCTGTTGCCACCAATGCCATCAAGCTGTGTCATACTTGTAGACCACAGCCTACCAAGACTACCAAGGGACTGCCTTCACCATTCAAGTCTCCATTGTTGAGGTGGACTCATGGCCCAAGACTGCTTCAATCAGCCATAGGTGATGCTACCTGGAATAGAAATCTGATTTACTGGGGCCATGTGTCTTCCCCTGGCAAAGGATCACTTTCAGAGGCTCCATTTATAGGTAAAACTGAGAATGCAGGCTATTAGGTTTTGCTTAGTATTTGATTTCACCAACCAAGCATTAAGGTCCAGGGTAAAGTCTTGTGCTTATTATCCTTTCCTGTCCCCAGCAAATAGGGTTTTGTACCACATTTTGTTGCCTGAGGTTGGTATAGTGTTAGTAAAGGCAGTCCCTTGGCCACCTAGGCCTCCCTACAATCCACAATAAGATGGGTTGTACCTTAGCCTTATGGTGAAAAGATCTATACAGTTTCAGAGGGCAGTAGGACCAGCACTGCAGCTCTTGGTGATAAAAGCCAATACAGGAGTCTATCCCACCCAGCTTGGGTCTCTTTTTGGTGGTAGAGCAGTTCTAGAACCCCATCTGGGAACATTGGCCTTGAGAAAGCTGTGCTGCACAAGATTGAAGGATGGGTGATAGAGACTGTTCTTTTATCACCAAGGCTAATACTAAGCTGTGACACACCTGAGTCTCACAGTTGCAGGGATCTACATAGAGTTGGGAGAGGGCAGATGTGCCCCAGGCCCACTTCAAGGCTGGAAATGATGCAGTTTGATACATAAATCTGTCCCAATTTGTGCACAGGTCTCCACAGGACCTTCAATTTTGACCAAGTGCTTGTTTTTTTTTGTTTTTTTTTTTTTCAGGGAGGCTGGCACTGGGTTCCAAGACAAAAACACTGTTAGCTTTTCATCCTTGCTCCTCAGAGTTTGAAATCTTGCTCTCAGCTCTGCAGTTGGAGGTTGGAGGAGGGATGTAGCAGCAGTCAGCCTCCTGACCTAAAGTAGTTATAGTGGCTCATGTCATAGCTATTGATCTGGTGGTAGGGATCATGGGGATCTGGCCAGTCCTTGGTTTCACTATGGAAGTCCTGGAACTGTGCTTCAAGTCTAAGGCATGGACTTAATTCTCCCACCCTGAATCAGGAGGCATCTCTTTCCATTTTGAACTCTTTGGAGTTGGGGGAGGGTTGGCACAGGCTCCCTGGGATTCTTTCCTGCCTGCCTTTTTCAATAGATGTTTTTTTTTTGTTGTTGTTGTTTGTTTGTTTGTTATGGTATCTTATCCAATTTCCTTAGCTCCTATGAAGGTACTTTCATGTGTGACTAGCTGTTTAACTTAGTATGTTTATGGGGAGACAATCCTAAATGATCTTACCCAACCACATCTGCCTCCAGAGCACATTCATTTTTTTATATTTCCAACTTTCTTAGGTAAAAAATAACTATATAATGTCTTCCTTCATCTATTATTGGCTAATTGAGTTTTTTTTTAAGGGATTCAGCTTGAAATTTTCCTCACTGCTATAAGGTGACATATGAACAGAGATATGAATGAAGTAAAGGAGCAAGCTCTGGATATCTAAGGGAAGAGTGTTTTAGGCAGAATAGCAAGTATAAGGGCTCTGATATATGAGAATTCCTGGGATATTTGAGAAAGAACAGAAATCACTATGGTTGAAATAGGTTGGTCAAGAGGACAGGTATAAGAGCTGAGGCCAGAGAGAGAGTTTTGTTTTGTTGAGACAGGGAGTCACTGAAGGGTTTGAGTTGAGGAATGATATAATCTGATTTATGACTTAAAAAGGTATTTCTGTCTGCTGTGTTTAAAAAAGAATGTGGGAGAGGCAAGGAGGGAGTGAGGAAATGCTGATGAGTGATATTGGCCAAATTATATTGTTATATTGTGTGCATGCACACATATGTAACAATAAGTCCCATCAATATGTATAACTGTAATGCACCATAAAATGTGGAAAAAATTAAAAAAATCCATTTTGCCAAAAAATATGTATGTATAAAGCAAAAATTTAAGGAACTATAACACATTCCTTATTAATAATAGAAAGCTAATAAAATTCTCTCAGAGTTCAATGATCAATATAGACCTGAAATGTCAAGGCTGTAGACGAATTGACTCACACAATAAATTGTGTTGGTCCAATAGATAATAGGTAGAATTTTGTACTACAGAGCATAATACACATTATTGTCATGTGTAGACAGAAGAATCATTAAAAAAAAAGAATATGGGATGGCAAAGGTGACAGCATGTAGACTAGTAGGAGATTATTACAATAGTGTAGGGGGCAGATGTTGGTGGCTTTGACCAGTGTGGGAATACTGGAGGTGGTGAGGAGTGATACGATTTTTGCATATAATTTGATGTTAAAGTGCACAGGATTACTGATGGATTAGATTGTGGAATTAGAAGAGAAGAATGAATGATGATTCCAAGAATTTGGACCTGAATTATTGGAAAGATGGGCTAAACATTGCAGGAGAAGCAGATTGAGGGTAATAGATAAGATCAGGAATTCAGTTTTGGTAAGTTTGTGCTCTGTCACATCCAAAAGGAGATGTTGCTTAGAGGTCTAGTGAAGAAAGTGTTTTCAGGAGTGCAATAGCATCAGATACTAATGATGAGTCATGAGAGATGACCGAGGATTGACCTTTGGATTTGTTAAAATGGAGATTAAAGGTGACATTGACAAGTGTTGTTTTAGTGAAATTACAGGAAAGCCTGATTAGAGTGATATCAAACAGAATGAAAGGAAGTGGGGATAGTAATTACTTCATATAGTTCTGCTAACAAAGGGGAACAGAGAAATGGGGACTGTAGTTGAAAAGAAATGAGGAGTCAAGGAACATTTTAAAAGTTACTATTATTTCAGTTTATTTTTATGCTAATGGAAATAATTGAATGGAAAAGAAAAAGGATTGATAATGAAACAAGGTCTTTGAGTAGGTAAGAGGCTAGATACCTTCTCAAGTACAGCAGCTGGCTTTTTTTTTTCTTAATAACTTGGTGGGATTTTTATTGTGAGAAGTCCAGTTTGAAAGAGACACCAGCGAACATTTTTCTAGTGTAAGACCAAGTTTTAAAGGAATTGTGTGATCTAATACTCCCAAATTGGAAAATTAGGTCTTCAATTGCCTAAACCCACAGGTAAACCCCAGTATCCTTAGTTATACTAACAGGATATAGGCTTCCAGGGCAGGGTATCCTCCAGAAAGGGTCATAGAGAAAATGGTCATGGAGAAAAATGGACAAGGGAGATTTCCTCAGTGTGTAAAAATTGGGGCATCCATGGTGATTGACCAAGAAATTCACCCTGTGGTGAATTTTTAAAAATTATTCCCATGTAAGGAGCTGGCTTTTGATAGAAGCACAAATATTTGATCCACAGTAACAGAAGGGAAGATGGAATACATGGATACACTTCTGGGTTAAATCTGCAGATGTTGTGTTAGGAGCTTGTGGAAGTTGTCTTCTGCTTTTCCACAAAATAGGAAGTAATATCATCAGCTGAGAAAGGCTCTGGGAAAGAAGAATGGGAAGATTTAGGAAAAAGGAATGTTTTACATAGAAATATACTGTTTAGTAAATATGAACTATTGCTATAATTGGTACTTAGTCTGTTTTTGGACGGGATAGAAGGCTTTTAAAGTTCAAAGACAATCACCATCTACTACATGCAAAGACAGTGTTGCTTTGGTAATTTTTTTCAAGGATATTTTTCTTTCATGAGAGATATAGACATCTATTCAAGAAGTCTTACTATAACATGGTGTACATTAAGAATGCCTACTATATTTGTGTGTACAAACTGGTTTTGAAAAAGAGGAGATAGAGGTTAATTTTAACCATCAAAGATGATTTTATGGATGAGAGAGCATTTGAATGAGGTCTGGATTAAGGGAAGGTAGGTGTTCAGTTGACTTATCAATTGCTTTATATATACTAGACATGGGGCTAAGCATTGTGCACACATTGTTGTAATTAATTCTAATACCTGTAGGAAGGTGAAGCTTAAAGAGGTTAAGTAATCTGATAAAAGTCAAACCTACTGGTAAGTAGGTTTAGACTCAGATCTAGCTGACAACAACCCCTTTTTAATATAGAACAATGGTTGTTGGGAGAAAGAGTGCTATTGAAGAGAATACTCCAGTACAAGGAGTTATTAGGAGCAAAGAAAAGCACAGGTGTGAGAAAACATAGAGAATGTGTGTGTGTGTGTGTGTGTGTGTGTGTTTGTGTGTGTGTGTGTGCGCGCATGCACGTGCATGCACATTGGGAAAAGATGGAACATACAGTGGAAGATAAAACTGAAATATAGGCTGTAATCGGATCATAGAAGGGAGGTTTCAAATGTCATGTTAAATTATCTGGACATTATGTTGCAGGAAGTCATCAATTTTGAGATAGTTTTTCTCTACAAGAGAATCATGTCTACTATGGAGCATCTGGCCAGTATTATAACTCTTTGTTTTGTTTTACAGTTGTAGATTCTTTCGCAAGACAAGACAATAGCAAATAAAAGTGGGCGATTGACATTAAATGTCAAATGTGGTTACCAATTTCATATAATAGTGTATGAATATGTAATTATTTTATTGAATTATTTTGTGTCATGAAATTAGGAACACTGGTATAAAGTATATTAATGTTAGCTTACTATTTTTATAAGGCCATATGTCAGAAATTAAAATTATGTTTTTCAGATACTGACCGAGCCTTATCGTTATTGGAAGAATACTGCAAAAAATTAAGAAAACCAGAGGAGCAGCTGTTGAAAAATGCTGTTAAAAAGGTGATGAGTATATTTAAGAGCAGCTTATTCCAAGCTTTACTAGGTATGTATTATAAAAATTATTCATCTTAATGGTCAGAATTGGGCTTAATAGTTAGAATAATGAGGTCACAGAGTCTGATGTTAACCAAATTTCAAATGGGGATGATTTTCCTAAATACTGGAAGGGAAGATTTGTTTGCTTGTTTTTTTTTTCTTATTTAATGTTTACCTAAAAATTGTTATAAAATGTAAGGGATAGGTGATTGAAAAACATAAATATTGACCCAGCAACTCAGGAGGCTGAGGCAAGAGGATGATTTGAGGCCAGCCTTAGCAACTTTGATCCTTAGCAACTTAGAGAGATTCTGCCAGAAATAAAAAAATAAAAAGAACTGGGGACATAGTTCAGTGGTAATGCACCCATGAATTTAATCCCCAGTAGGAACAACAAAATAATTATATGTATATATTTATACATATTTCAAATGAAGATTTGGAAATAAAAATTTTACAGATTAAAAACCCTGAGTGTTTTATTGCAAAAAGTTGAGGACAGCAAATGCTTAAGAAATTGACTTCCTTAAGGAAAGGGATTATCTAATACAAAAATACATTGTGGTCAGTTAGAATCAAAATTTTGCTCTCTTCTTAGAACAAAAATTAAAAGAAACTCTCTTTATCTTTCTTGCTTTTCTAAGGAATGTTTATGATATGAGATTGAAAAATTTATTGATGAAAATTGCAGTGTCTTGAGATTCTTTTCAATTCATCATGAACCCAATCAAATGATGTTTAACCTTAGGTTTACTCTTTTATTTTTTTAATATTATGAAGAAAATAGAGATATGGTTTATTTATGTATGTCTTTATTCATAGATCTTTTGCACTTATGCAAACAGATAGGTTTAACTTCTTTATGATATTGTAAGAGACAAAATAAACAAGCAAAAGACAAATGCCTCTTCCAACAAAAACAATTAATTAAACAATTAAAAAATTTCATTCAGCATAGTACATTTTATTTTATTTTATTATTTACTTTTCTTTGCAATATTGGGAATTGAACCTAGGGCTTTGTGTATGCTAGGTAATAGCCCAGGACATTTTAAAGAAATGACTGACTGTAGTAGACATTTTTATTACTTTTCCCAAGTAATAGTTATTGATATAAAATCTAAAAATAGGAATTTATGAGACTTAATCTTGAAAATAGTTTATTTTTACTATAAATATCTATACTTTTGATAAAACCTCAACTTTATAGTATGATTATAATTTTAAAAATCATTATATTAAAAAAATTAAAATCAGTTTATGAATAGAAATAGAAGTAAAAAGCTTTACAGGGTTATTTTGCCTGTGGGTTAATTTCTTTAAAATATTCTGTTTTGGCTGACAAGAATTAATGACTATAATGAATTATAACTATAATCATTTTAGCTAGTATTAAGTAAAAACAACTCTAAATGGAGTCTTGCAGAATTTAAATAAACATTTGTCTTTAGAGAACAGTATTTTAGAGAACATTTTTAAACCACAAATTTCTCAATTAGAAATTAATAGCATCATCGAATTGATAATTAGTAAAGGCCATTAACAGGCAATGTGTCTAAATAGGTTCATAAAATATGTTTAGTTAAGTCTGGCTACATCTTTTGAGAACTTGAGCTTTTGAGAACTTTATTTAGGAACAGCAACTCCTGATTTGCTGGACTAATATTTATATTTATGATATTTTTTATCATATAACCATTTAATAACACCATTACATAGGGAATAAAAAGACAAATGAGTGATAAAGAATTGCATTTTGCCATTATTTTGACTGAATGATAAGTACCTTGGCTTAAAGTCTATAGTGTAGTTTGAATTTTTCTAATAAAATGAGAGACAATATAATCTGTAAAAAGCTGTTATGTAAGTAATCCCAATACCCAGCTTGGGATGGATAGATTTGCTTTAGCTGGTCTTTTAAAGTCATTTGGGGATAAAGCAGAGTGCAAAGAATAGAGCACTATACATCAAAACATAATTTTCTATTGAATTCTGTGTGGGTAGCTAAATACTGTTTACTAATTTATTATTATTGAATGTTTGAGTGCTCTCATTGTACATTTTCTTTAAAGACTTTAAAGAAAAGCTATATAATCATGTGTATCCTGAAAAAGATTCATATCTTTATAAAAGCATAAGGAGTGAGCCACAAGACAAATAGGGTGTTTTTTTTTTTAATCGTCTATTGTTTGCTTTTTGTTTGAACCAACACCCTCCTTTTTTTTTGGTTACAAGTAATGGAAGATACTGGCTCTACCTATTGACTGGTATCTAGATAAGCAGTACAGTGAAAAAATACCTTGAATAAATTTCAACTAACTGCTTAAATAGAGGGAATCATAATGCAGATTATAATTACCATGTGTAGTAATCATAGTAAAATGAAGCACTATTAATTACTACAGCATGTGTTATAATATTTACATGTGACCAGAAAAACCAAACTCTTTCTCTACAGACAAAAAGAATACTTCTAAGAATAAATATTATCCCCCTTTTGTAGTCCTTTAAAATCAAAGACAAAAAACCAAAAAGCTAGTGTGTCTTAGGTGGTATAATCTTCGAGGACTAGAAATTTTTCTACATAACTGTGATCAGTATTATAGTGTGTAAAAGCATTCTATAAATGAGTTCTTTGATAACATAGCAAAGATATTATGCTTTTTTCAATTTTAAAATATAATTTTATCTGATTATAAAAGGTATATATATTTATTTTGTATTTTTTAAAATGAAGAAAATGAAAGAATATGAAACTCAATATTAAAATATTTTTAAAATGGTAAATAGGATCTCTGATTAACATGGAGAATGATGAATTGTTTAACTTACTTCGTTCTTCTAAAATTTTCATGTTATTTATTTTGATTTTCCACTTACCAATAACTGACACTGAAAAAGACACAATGAAAATCAATGATTTTCACTAGTGTACAAAACAAACAAGTATCTGAGCAGTATGCTAGAAACTACACATTTAGATGTTAGTCTTAGGGTGACATCTTGTGGTGCTACTAAGGAAAAAATTTATCCAATGGATAATTACAGTTTTATGATAATTGCAATATCAACAATATCCAGAGACTGAATATGAGTGAATTGGAACTCCACAGTGTTTTACAAATTAGTTTGAGTCTCTCTAGTTTAGACTAGCTAAAACATTCAGATTTTCAAGGTACTTTATTAGGTTATTTTTTCTTTAGGTAATGAGAAAGCAAGTTGAAACTTTTTTTAAAAAAATTCTTTTGATACTTGTCTTTTAGATCAACTTTGAAAATTTAAAGATCTGTATTAACAACATATTTATTTGTGAAAACCATTTTAATATAATGAGTCAGTTCATTTTCAGATATCTAACATAAATGTTTTTGTAACTTACTGAAAATTATGCATTTTT